TTTGGTCCAGATATTTAAGCCCACAGTTCGTACCACTGGCTGCTTAATGCGGGGGTAAATTAAGCCTCAGTTACTCATACTTTGTCACACGAAACCACAATTCCCACCGGTTTTGTACATCAAACAACCGAGCAAACAAACAGATTATAAAAAAATTGCTTCAATTGATTAAATTCTGGTTCGGCAAAGTTTCTCCATTTCAGCAAAGTATCAACTCCCAAGCGGTTGTCAGTAGCACCAAAAGTAAAGTTTTGAACATTGACAAACCAACAATATCAGTTTGTTTAAGTTTAGTCATTTAGTGCGCGCAACTACAAACGAAAGTTTCATCATACTTAGACTTTGTACGGAACATCAGGAACATGTAGATTCTTTGAAGGCAAAGCAAAATTAAAAAATGTTCTTATCCCGAATCAGAAAATTGCTGGTTGAAACTGTTGGGCTCTTGAGCTACAAGGAAGCAGATTTGATTGCCTTATTAGCTGGATTCATTAATCACACCTCAGTTACCTCCGTTCTCTAAAGCTGAAGCAAATGGATCTCGACTGGTATAAATTAAACTTCGGATTAAAAAAGCGATCAATCAAATCAAAGCAAATCGTGATGAGGAAGGAGCGCGTTGCAAGCGTAATCGGCCAAAACACCTCTGACTAATTAAAGTGTTTCCCTCCCGCAAATACAAAAAACATGTCAGTGTCTTGCGCTGCAATTTTGCAAAGTGATACGCGATAAAATCGGCGTGAATAAATTTTTCATAATTAATGACTGCTTTACCGCACAAAATTACTATAAGCAATGTGTTATTTGCCGGCCGGAATTTCCTTAGGAAAGCTGCATTGTCAAGGCGGCAGTAATAAAAAATAAACCGTTCCTGATATAAGTATGAATTATGGAACTTTTACAAAATACTGCCGATTTAGATCTGTTGACAGAGAGTGTTTAAAATGTGGAAAGGTGAAGGTCGATGCGCTAATTACATGTATGCATGTGAGTTGTTTCGTAATTTTGCCGGGCGTACCGCTTCTGAATTAATAAGCAAGGACTAGAGAATTGCAAGTATAGAGAAGGAATTTATTTTTAGTTTCAAACTGGGGAAGAACAGCATGCAAACATTTCCTGGGATTAAATAAAGAGCAATTTTTGCTTGCAATTGCCAAGAAATCAGCTCTAGTCCTTTCCAAACTAGAGTTGAGTTTTTTTAATATACGCATGTTGATATCGGTTTTGAAACCGGCTGTTTTCTTCTTCAACTTAAAACGTTTCCTGTAGCTGAAAGTGAAGGAAACCAATTTGAAATAGAAGCGCTCTTCGACAGAAGATTTTCATGAAAGTCTCAGTCATGAAGGTTTCTCAGTGTTTCTCAAGATTTTTAGAGATTTTAAGTTCCACCCATATAAAGTTGAGTTTCATCCAGAATCACATGATCGGAATTTTCAAGTCAATGAGTTTCAAAAAAACTCTAACTGAAAAACGTCTTTTGGGTTCTCACTGTTTACAGATTAATGCACTTTCTATGAAAATTAAATTGGTAAATAAGCACAACTTCCTTATTATAGTGAAATAAACTGGCAAAAAAGATGTTTTTTTTTACTTTGCATTAAATATTAGAGAATTTCTGAAGTTTCCTAGCGGACTTCCGCGTCAGCTGCTCAAATTCATTCCATTAGACAAAGAGACAAATGGAAACAGTTTTTAAGCAAAAAAAAATACCAGTTAGTGAATTGGGAGGGAGCGACCACTAAGTTGGCCTGCTCGCTCTCCAGATTTAACAAATTCCGATTTTTTATGTAAATCGCGATAATCGGCAAGAAATAATTAACAGTGCATTTTAAACTTTTCCAACGTAAATCTTGCGTCGAGTTGAGAACAGTTTCTAAGAAGGATTTTCTGAACTTTTCAACACTGAGTTCATCAGTTGCGTCTTCGGATGAGTCGATTAATTTAATTATTTCAGTAATTGCAATTATTATTACTTGTTTCATGTGACCACTTAGTGCTGCCAATCGCTTTTTTGTTAAGTTTCAAGCTACAGATAGACATAATTATTAGAAAAGGATTAAATTTATGTTCCGAAAATGTTATAATACATATATTATTAAATATCATATATTATAAAATAAGCGAGAATTTTTAGACGAAATTTCCTTAATTTTGAAACGTACATTTTCGAACATCTTGCCCAAATTTTCACTGCAATTAAGTTTGGATGAAGTAGTCAAATAAGGTGTTTTAGCAATGTCATAAATACTCCAGCGTGAATGACTGCAAAAGCGAAGCTTCACATCTTTTAATTGTGCTTTGCACTTCACATTTTTCCACATTATATTGAAAGCGCTTCACATTTTCATCAGCAATGATGAAATTATTAAATTTTCGATTATTCTCAAAACAATTAATGTCTTTTTCAATAGCTTTGTTGCTGAGTCGTTTTATCGTTCATCGTCGAAGTGCATACGAAAATACATTCGAAAGGTTCGAGAGCCTGAAATGAAGCGTCGCATGCGAATAAGCCATCCCGGAATGAGAATGTCTGACCCGGATTTTCATGACGTATTTTGTAGGATTTGGCAAAACAAACTATTTGTACCGGCAGCCGAGACAGCAAAGGCGATTTTATCTTCATGCATGTCTAGCTATTCAGTTCGGGTCCTTCCAGAGCTTATTGCTTTCTGTTTCGGGCGTTTTTGCTCGGACAGCCAGGCTTAGATTGACTAGTTGACGGCGATGATTCAATTTTGCAGCACTTTGGCTAATTAACATTGATAAATTACCCAGTTGGTTAACATAAAACGTGGGGAGCAACTGATGGGTTCAATAGTCCTTACTCCTGACAACGTTTTAAACGCTTTAAAACTTCAATCTAATCAACCGCGATGTTTCGCTTCTAATCCCTCACAATTCGCAGTGAAAGCAAAGAATCATCTGCTGCTTCTGAAGGCTTAATTATCCTTCGCTGACGAAAGTCTGTTCAATATAAACTCAAGTATTTCCGTTCGGTCCTCGAATTGTTCGTCTGTGCTTAATCTGTTTGCTACCGAATTTTATTGCCCATCATATTTAGAGTATCTTTTATTAAATGTCCCTGCCATCGATATAACGGGAAGCTCTTTGGTTTAAGCGTAAGGGCATTTAATAGGTTTTAAAGTCAACATTTTTTTACTGGGATTGAATTCATTGAGGTTGTTTTAACAGTGGCTTTTTTAAAATGCAAAGGAGTTGATTGGTGTTTTTCAATGACGAGTTCTAGTATAAATTAGTCGACTTCAAATGCCAGACTTTTTGAGTCATTTATTCCCAACATTTTTTGAATAAAACTCGAAAACTTCAGAGCATTTCAAAGGAAAAAGGTAGATTTGTTTCGAGAGTTCAAGTTTCTATTCAAAATTTGTGTGTTTTGGGACAATAATTAGCAAATGCTCTATTGCCTCTTAATAAATGCGTTTTTTTACATTAAACCTTAAAATATCCGTCGTCATAAGCGCCTGATTACAATCAAAGAATTTTCAATCGCGCATAACTTGCGTTAATTTTGAAAAACCCCTACAAACCAACGTAATTTTATACAAAGCTGAATTTTTGAGACCCTAATAAGTCTCGCGTTTTCTACGAAATTGCAGATCTTTTGCGATGATATTTCCCATTGATCTTGTTTTATAAATTTTCGAAAACTAAAGCGCACTTTTTGTCAGACTCTTTAAGAGTCAATTGTTATGATTTTGCCAAAATCTGCGAAATTTTCTCAGGATCTGCAATTCTATACGCTTTAAAGCGATCACGAGATTCGGCTTGTTAAAATTTGGCAATGTGAGCTTTTTACCCGCTCTTATTTGCAATATAGAGATTTTTTAAATAAATTTTCTCACAATTTCCACAACAGTTTTGTTCACTAAGTTTGATTAGTTCTTAAAAGTGCACCAAATTCCTGCTCTAAAATGTACCAAATCAGCTAAATATTACGTTTCTGAAGCTTAGAAATTTCTGAACAAAACAAATTTTGAAAAATTCTCAAAAATCAATGGAAATTCCTCTAAACCTGAAATGTCGAAATTCTATTAAGTAGCAGCTGTGCTGTGGAGATGCAAAATACCTTGTTTACCTGTCTTTGAATAGATTTTATGAATTTTCAGACACTTTGACTAAGTTTGACAAATTTGCAAAAATCAACCAACATTCTCAGTTTGAAATTTCGCTCACTTAATAACTGGAGCTTTTGCGATAAAAACTACAAACATCAGCCCCTTACCTGGTCTGAATCCCGCCTTTTTAAAGCAAATTTTGAATATTTCTCAAAAACGAGCGGCATTTCGATTTTTATCTCCTGAATCATCGGTGCCTCCTCCACGTAAATCTGGGATTGTTTCTCTTTACTTGCATTTGATTAGATTTTACGAAACTAACGACTTCGGATGTGCTTACTTGCTCCGACTGTATTCACCGAAGAAAAAAGCTTCAGGACAATTTAAAAGAGTCCCCACAGAATGCTCGACGAGTTTGAAATATAACGCAATTTTATTATCTATAATACTTTAAAAGATTTCCCGTGGAAGCATTGCGGAGATGCTTTTACTGGAATATTCACCAGAGCAACATAAAGATACATCTTTTATGATATTGAGCCTGCCGACGTCTCCGCTTCCATCCAGCCTGTTCGTTAACTCGCAAACAGTCGCTATTTTCGTATGGCTTTCATGCGAAAGGTTGCAGCGAGTGTATCAATTTGATCACGTCAATAATAATAGCAGCAGAAACATATTTTTGTTGTTGAGAAGGAAGCGGATACACTAGTGCGAAAATTAGGGCAATATCTGTTCCATAGAGCGGAGAAAATGACGCAAAAACTCGTTGGTCGTAAAAGGCCGCAAATAAAGCTTCCATTTCATGGAAGCGGCGTAAAACCCATTGTGTTTGGGGGGCAATTCTTAACTCAAATCGCCCCAATTCACTGATTCGTTGCCAAAATCTCCTCAATTTCCTCAAAAGTGTTTCCCCACACGAAACGTTCCTTTTACCTTTGCAGCTTAATTCCGAATAGGATGAACTCATCAGGAATATTCTCAAACTAAACCCCCTCAAGCAGCAGCCATGAAGCTCGGAAACTACTTCTTTTACTCGTTGTTCCTCTTCATCCAGTGCAGTTTTGGACGCAGAGCCAACGATCGAAACCGACAAATCTTCCAACTGAAGGAAGAAAACATGTATCTCAATGAGAATGAGCTGATCGACAGCTTGCAAACTGGCAGACGCGAAAGACACAAAATCCGGCACCAGCATGAAGAAATCCATTGGCCAGTGAAGAAAATTGCGATTGTGGAAGGCGACATTGTGCTCGGAGGGTTGATGATGGTGCACGAAAGGGAGGATTCGGTAATGTGCGGCCCTGTTATGCCCCAAGGGGGCATTCAAGCCCTAGAAGCCATGCTTTACACTCTGGACAGACTGAATAATGATGAACCGAAGTTGCTTCCGGATATTTCCATTGGCGCCCATATATTGGATGATTGTGATCGGGACACTTATGGCCTGGAAATGGCTCTTGATTTTATCAAAGGTACGTAGAAATTTCCAGCTAGTGAATGTGGCCACTAAAGAGCGAAATAGATTTCGTAAATCCTCAAATTTTTTTGAATTTTTCACCTTTAAACTTGCTCGATAAGCAGCACTGAAGTTCACAGTTGAAGCAAGTTTACTCAAACCCCTGATCTCTTCGTATGTGCTGGCAAAGACCCGCTTGAACGATATCAATTTAGTCGCAAACTGGACAGAATTCCAATAAATTATGTTAAAGCAGGAACGTTTTGCCTTAGCAAATATCTCTGGGCCTTGCCGATATGGATTAGCTCTAAAAACGACCATGTCTGCTGGATAAAGTGGATCATTTGTATAGGATTGGGTCAAAGTCAAATGTGGCTTTAATTAATGAATCATTCCGGGAATATTTACGTTTACTTGGTGTCAAAATTGATGCAAATGTTTCGATTCTCCTTTGCATTTTTCGTGGAAAGTGCTCAGCAAATTCGGACATTTTCCACGCAATTAGTTAATGCAGTTTTAATTCGTTTTTCTTGCTCCAAATCGACTTTGCCTTGCAAAACTCTCACTAATTGGTTTTTAGTGTGGCAATTATTCAATTCAGTAATAACCAACTTTGCAGAATGCACATTTTCACATTTCCACGAACGACTAATCAACAGTCCAGAAATTCCCATTTGGACATGCAACTCTTATAGAAAAGTGCAGGTTTGCAAGCAAATCTTTCCCCTATACAATGGCCTTCGGGATTGGGGCAATAAGATAAATAGAACGACTTGTCTTCGTCCATTTTCAACATATTTCTGATGATTAATTAATGTGTTATTATCCAATTTTTCAACACCATAAAATTGCTTGGGCGGCCATCAGAGTAGATGTTTCCTGTCGCGGAATGTCCTAGGCGACATTCCTGATTTATTTTACCTGGAATGGCGTGCAAAAGTAATTAATCATGTTCTGGCCTATGCCTCAAAGAGATATTAATTTTCGGATATCAAATGGCGACATTCCAAATACCGGTATTTGTTATCGTCATACCTTAATTACTGTTTCAGCTGCAGACAACTTTACACTTGAATGAGTCCATTCCGCAGCTGAAATGGGATGACAAAGTTATTACTTGTTTCCGTTGCTTCTCTTCTCAATTTAATTCAAGGGAATTAACAGCAAACGGGGTTTATTGCGATTAAAAATACAACTCTGAACACAACAACATAACTATTAAATTAAAGAACAAAAATGTAATTACTAATTTGGATCTTTCACATTACCGACGTCTCTTACACGGTAGTAGCAAATGTTAATAGAATTACCAAGGAGTTTAATGAAATTAGTGCAAAATTATCTTATAAGTGAAATATCCAATTAGGGTGGATGATGGCGACGGCGTTTTGAGAGCTAATTGGCCAGTTTTGAGCTGAAGAAACCAATTAGAAGGTTCGCTTTTGTTCTATTGAAACCTGCCAATTCAAAATGTATCAACTAATTGACTTGTCGACTCAACTGTGCTGTTTCACGTTGAAGAGGGAGTTAAAAAGTAAGCGATGAAAGCAAATATTATCTCTGCATTCAAGGGAATTTTGCACATCACGAAGCTTAAAATCCAGCAAGAATCCTAATAAAGAGAGCTCGGATGCAGAAATAGTTTCCACTGGAATAACTGTTGTCTTTGGGAAATATGCAATTACAAACCGCCAAGTTCCGACTGAATTACCCGCAGTTTACATGTACTATGTATATCGGCGTACTAACCTAATATTTACTTATTAAGGGCTGAGGGCTCTAAATTGGTATCAGGGTTCGGATATGAACGTATTTGGCTCTCAGGTTGCAAATGGAGAAATAAATTATCCTTGAACCGAATTATAAGCTATTCTTTACGCGAAAAGCTCTATTTTATTCTACTCGGGCCTCTTGCAAAGCTTTTCGATTTTATATTTGTTAATTGTGTTTGCTGGACTAAAACCAAATGCAATTTTAAACAGGTCCTTTTTTAGATAGTGATACCTTCTTATTGAGCCTCAGTAGCGATTTGAAATTTTCGTTTTGGTCTAAAGTTCTGAAAATGTTAATCGAATGTGAGCAAAGTTTGGTTTTTTCAGCCAGTTATCGCGAAGTTGCACGCCTTTCTTTCAAAAATTGCAACTTCTGACTGAGTCTAAGTAACAACATAATATTTTCGCCATCTATTGGTCAGTTGTCGATAAACCGGTTCTGCGAATTTCAACAAAATCTGAGCAAATGCTGATTTGTTCAGCTAAATCAATGCTGCGTTGAAATTTTTTTCCGCGCTTTTACATATCGTTCTCCAAAAAATGCCAACTTCTGATTAAGCTGGCGTAGCAACTTCAAAATTTCGGCAAGGAAAGGCAAGTGTTGGGTCTACAAACACAAAAAAATTTGAATAAAATATAAGTTAATTCTGATTTTTGGCAACCAAATGAGCTGAATTGAAAAAGATTGTTATCGCGTTAATACTCGAGCTTAAATTTAAAAATTTAACTACTGATAACTCACTATGGAGCCTTAGTAGTAACTTTAGATTTTCGTCATCTATAGGTAAATTTCCGGTTAAAAAGTTCGAAAATTTTCAATACAATGTGACGCAAATTGTTATTTGTGTCAGTCTTATAGGCCCTTTCCAAAAAAGTGAGAACTTCTCATTCAGCCTCAGCAGCAACTTGTAATTTTCACGATCTATAGGCTGCTTTACAGTCTAATCGTGCTGATGATTTGAAGAAATTCTGAACCAATTCTGATTTTTATTAGTCTAATAAATGCTGGACTCAACAAGAATCTGGCTATTAACCACCTTTCTTAAAAAAATTAGGGCTTTTCATTCACGTTTATTAGCATCTGAAAATGTTGGCAATCTATAGGTGACTTGATATTCTGGTAGTTCTGAAAAACTCAGCTAAATCCGAACAAATCCTCATTTTTGTCAACCAAATCAATTGTGGGCTGAAAATTAATGTTTTCACGCAATTACACGCCCTTCCCAAAAATTATGAGAACTTACACTCTGAAACTCCTCAAAATTTCAGTAACACCCGAGTAAATTCTGATTTTTATTACTCATATCAATGCTGCGCTAAAATTTGTGATTTCATGCAATTACATGCCCTTCTTTAATGAACGGCAACTTTCTGCTGAGCCTCGGCAGAGGCTTCCAATTTTGGTCATTTATACATCACTTCTCGGTCTAAATGGCCTAAAAATTTCAGTGCAATCCGAGCAAAATCTGATTTTGTCAAATAAACCAATGCTGCGCTGTATACGAATTGGCGCACTGTGGAAAAAATCTTCTTCTGACGTTTCGCACGCACGACTGGCATGCATCTTCAGAGCCAGCGTCGCGCAAACCTTCTCTGAAGATGCAAGCAAAAACCTTGTTTTTTCGCCCTTGCAGAATTAAAATTACTATAAAATGGATGGAAAACAAATTAAGAAAACTTCTAAGCAAATTGAAAATCTAAATTCATCGACTAAAACATAACAATTTTTGAACTAGAACATAAAAATCTAACAAACGATTAACTGATGTACAACTTTTTTCTTCACCAGGGTTTCAATTTTTCAATTGCTCCCAAGCTAACATTGTGAAATGGAAGACTCCGCTAAAACTTCTCTTATAAAATTCAATTACAAAAGTAAAAATTAACTTTGGGCGGGTTCTTAGAAATACAGATGAGCGTTGAACTGAAATCGAATTAAAACAGGGAATCTTGTAAAAACATTAACTTTAGCGATTTCGTTGTGTTTTCCTGGCGCTAAAATACGTGTTTTTCTGGGCTCTTTATCCTTGTCCTTCCAGCACAGGTATTTTTTCAAGGTTTCAAGGGCTGCGAATTGTGAGCCAACTCATGCACGTAATTTATTGGAAAAGTTTCCTCTCAGTTGAGAAGTTTCACGCATTCAAAAGTTGCTGTTGAATGAAAGATCTTTACGCTTCGATGTACGAAATTTTTGTCATAATACTGGAAAACATCCATAAATATACTTATGCGGACTTAGAAAGGTTTCTTTGAAGGACATTTGTTTTTTTGAGTCGATAATTCCACATTTATGATCATCGCTTTGTCGGGACAGTTTCGCCCGAATGCATGAGACAATGCCCTGATGAATAAAAATTTCTATTCATATTCATTACAAAAACCCCATTGTGTCCAGATATTAAATTTCCGGGGACTTAATTCTTTCCCGAAATATACAAGCTTACATTTCGCATTGGGCCACAGTAACGAAGTTCTGTAATCCGAAGCCTGCAGTTTACAGCAATACTCCTTTGCGGCTTGTTAGCTAATTGCGGATTAAGCAGCCAGTAGGAAAATTATCGATAATATTTAAATAAGGCGAAAGTCGTTTCGGATCGTTTTTTCAAGTTTTACATTGACAAAGTCTGAAGTAAAATTTTCTTTCATAATCGGATTATTCACCGCCGGTAACTTTTTGTTTGGGACACGTCCAACTTAATTTATTGAGTGGAGCTTCTCTTAGCTGGAGCAGCTGCAAGAGGCAAGAATTGTATGTGACATTTTCCGAAGCCAAATTCCTTTTTCGCCAAATACACCGGGATGGCAAATCGCTTGTTATTTGCCAATGGATCAATCGCAGCCAGTTTGGATTACATTTCGGTTTCCCAACTGAACCATTTCAAGCATTTCTTATATATAGTATTATTACTATTTAGTTCAGATTATTTTGCAACGATCAATTTGCTTCATCGATATTTCCCATAAAAACACATGGAAAATGTTGCTCAAAAGAAAACATCATTCAGCGAACAATGGTTGGAAAACAAAACATTCAGTTGAAGCTGGTAAGACGAGCTGCATTGGCAAGATCGATTCGATGTTTTAGAGTTTCCCTTTCGAACGTGCCTTTAAAATAGTGTATCGAAGTGTATCATCAAATATTTCATATCGATAAAATATTGCAAGTACATCCGGGAGAAATACCCGGGCGTATGCATGTCAATTTGCTGGAAAGCATTCAATGTTTGTTCCTGGACCGCAGACT